TTGATTTTTGAGGATTTTTTTTAATTTTCTCCTAATGATTCATATAATTTTCATTTTTTCTAAAAATTTTTTTTTACTTTTTTTTTTGTAATTGTTACGTTTACCAAAGATTGCTTCTAACGATAAGGTAGAATACATTTTATTGTGGTATAGTTAGTGGAACGAAAGATAGTTAGCTCAATGAAATATGCAATGTACATCAATCAACATCGTGGTGAAAATCGCCGAGGAAATTAGCAAAAGGAATACATCTCCGTTGTTCGTACCCATCCTTATCTATAACAATCTAATTTTCCATAAAATAGAGCATTTTTTTACCCCTTGGAATAAATTTCTGCTTAATTATTGTGATTGACATGATAATCCAAAAAGTTTTATTTTATCATCATTGTCAATGATGACAATATTGAAATTTGATCGATTAGTGAGCATAGTTAAATTATTTGAGTATTTGTAAATTGAATAAGTTGTTTGATATGAAATAGCAAATGATAATAATTGATATTCAAAGCTGATGTAGTATCGGCTTGTAATGTGGTAGTTATCCACAATGTAAGATAATTGTGTCAGCTGCCACTGAACGATGTATAGAAAAGTATACATGGCGTAAGAATCGCTGTACATTTCGTGGTTAATTAATAGTAACATTTGTTGCTTCCATTGAAATTTAAACTTTTCTAATTTTGCATTTTTGATTTTCATATATACTTATTAAACATTATGTGCCTATTTCTCATATTTTTCGGTTCTTTGAAATTCCATAAAAGCGAAATATTACTTTTGAGTATTACCAACGAATGCTTTCTTTTTTTCCCTTTTGATAGTATCTCAAATCATTATCCCTGGAGTATTGCAAGCTGTTTTACCAGTTCTTATCAACTCCGCACAATGTCAAAATCATCTATTTTAATAGTTTTTAGATCGATTTGCTAGTTTCTTGAAAGAGATGAAATGTATTTATTTTTTACATTGTAGTTTTCAGTTCACAAAAAGATTGTTTTTAACCTTACTTTTTTTGTGTAGTGCCAAAACAATTACTTTTTTTTGCTGTGCAAAGTGTGAAAGCAACAAGGCGGAAAATTCATTCTTTAATTGTGGACAAAAATTGCTGCCTATTTTGAAATTCGATGTTGAATAATGGGAGATTTTTAGGACGGCTCTGGATGACATTAGAAATTACGATAATGATGGTTTCGTAGAATCAATGTGTGTGCACTCATTAAAGGTGATAAATTAATAGGAAGATGTATTTTGAAATAGTTGAAAGGAGAGGAGCATCGCATACATATAGCATGGCCGGTATGCGTTTCCCAACAACTGCTACGGGTGGATGCTTCAACGGCTCGGATTGGATTGGATCGGATCGGATCATCGCTTACCGCTATCACTGATACTATTGCTACACCCAGTACTACAAATATAACTCATTTCAATTATTTAAAAAGAAGCCGTAAATTGGTTGCGTATATATTAGTTGAGCAGTTGTACGTTTGATAGATTATCATCAATCCTCATCTCTATTTCAACTTATTCCTCCTTTTTCTCCCTTCTGCTAGTTTTTTTAATTGTCAATTTAAGTATTATTTATTATCTCCATTCTATAATCCTACCCTCATTTGAGATCAAATTAAATATACTGTCTTCTAGATGAAAGCATCTTCCTGAAGCTACTGTAGCTTCATCCTTTCTTAACTTTTCTTACCCATAGTACAAAATAATTTTGAAAAAAAAACTTTCTAGAATTCAGTCAAGGAAAAAATATGGCTATGTAGGATGAGGTTTTTTTGAACTTTCAAACTTGATTATAACTTGAAATACCAAATTTCATTTGCAAAAGATTTTAAAAAATTGATACTCGGAAATTAAGACAGTTTTAAATAGGATTAATAGTCCGAAAGTTAACAAATTCAAACTTGACAAGAAGCGAAGTTTGTTTTACTGATATTGAAAAGCTAAAAAGAATCTAGCGTTTCATGTCCATCGTTGCTCACTTTCATATGCATCATCAAACTGCCTAAATTTAAATTTCTTGAATTTATAGCTGCATCAGATTTGAATATTTTTTTTTAGCTAAGTGGAAAATGGAGTGCAGGAAACGGGAAGTTCGGCAAATACCCAATTTTGCTGGTCCATTTAGTTTGATTGATATACCAGCTCTACTTATCGATGGGAAAAAAAGACTCCCACTCTCTTCTTCAAAATTTTTCCCCTAATTCTTGTGTTTTCCTGAAAAGCTAAACGAAGCTATTCTTATACTTTCATAAGCATACATTCATGTGAAATTTTATATAAGTATGCATATATAACACATTAATATAAATTGCAGATTTCAAATATTACGCAAAACTCATCAAATTTATGACAAATTGAAATTCCTTCGAAGTGTAGCATATCAAATTACAAGCATTATTGCTCCAATTTATATGTTGCTCAACTTTAAAAGCTCACCAATATGATATAGCAAATTCAAATCTTACTCCTTGTTAATTTTCCGAGAACAAATTAGTGTATCAGTGAAAATTTCTTACAATTTTAATTTAGCTTCAATTTTAAATACTCTCGAATTCAAATATATTAAGTGAACTTATCTAAGTAATCCGATATATGATCTTACAAGATCGATTAGATGATTATATGCTAAAAATATTAGAAATAAATGAAATAAACTTTAAGCTATATTTTAAATTTAAAATATTTAGTACATAGTTGTATTATTGATTCAAAAAACATTTACTTGATGGAAAAACCAATAAAAACATAAATCATTGTTGGATTATAACAAAATATGCGCCGCTGCTATCGTTGCCACAGAACATAACCATCAAAGTTTTCTTAAATCCTTTCATTTGATTATTTATTTTCAGAAGACTTTCCCAGAAAAGGCTATTGCTCGAAAGATCCATTTGTTCTGCACTATTTTTGAAATCTTTTCGATTCCACAATGATACCACGGGAAAATCATTATTTGGCTTTCGTTTTATTATGGGCGTATATTGTTAGCTGCGCGAGAGGTTTCTTCTGTTTTGTTTTTTCAAAATTTTTTGTGATATTTAAAATTTAATCAATAATTCAATAGTTTAAATAGAAATTTCTATCGAATCCATCTTGGTATTACAATTTATGGATCTGTCCAATACTTACAATCTTTTGCTGAATTCGATTATCAACAAGTATAAAAAGAAATTCCCTGATTTTTGGTTCCATAACACTTTCTCTTATTCGGATAGATAGATAGATGGCATTTTGAGATTAAAATATCTATGCAAAAAATTTTTCGAAAATTTGTCATATTAATCTCTTCAGCCATCTCATCCCGTAGCAGCAATATCCTGAAAACTGCATACGTTTAACAAAAATGGTTAAAATTTGTCAAAATTGGTTAATTTAAGCTATTAATACCTTTTTTATCATAAATTTTACATTTCACCCTGCATTTTTGGTCAAATATCAGTCTATCTGTCTGAAAATTTCGAAATTTTTGTTTGAAATGATCTTTGAAATAGTCCTAATTAAGAGTTTCTTGAATTTGATACTAAAAAAATTGTTGCTGATTACTGCATCATGTGATGCAAGTTTTTTGCTCAATTCCGGCTCAGTGAACCCAATGGCCTCTACATTTGCAAACAACTAATATATTAACAATTTAAATCCCAACTTTTACTAAATTTCTGTATCTTCCAAAACTCTAATTCAGAGTTCTGTTTATCCTGCTTATGTGGTGATATTATTTGTTTATCTTCATTCAAAACCCAAATTTAAAAAAAAATGCAGATTGAAACCGGAAGTATCTCTTATAAATCCAAATGTCTATTGTCCGGTTGACCCCAATAATTCTTGCTGTTTCACCTAACAATAACCTTATTGAGTATATTATTGCTATTGCAATTCAATTTTTTTTTTGCACCAAAATCTGTTCACCCTGTATCCAAAAATTATTAATTGGTTACAAAAATTTGTGAAATTCAATTCATTCTTTTCATTGCAGTAAAAATTAGTGAACTCATGTCACATGTTGATGGTATACTTTTTTTGCCTCCATACGTAAGGAACATTTAGTATAAGAAGAACCAATAGAATTCTCAAATTTTGCGAATTTTAAATATTCGAATAAGGCTGAACTGATGTAAATATGACATATGATATGATAGTTTTAATGTATTCTGCATCGTACAGTTGAAATGATTGTAATTTTTCAAAATTAATCAAGTATATTTGAATGCTTCTTTCCAACTTGCCAATTATTTGGATTAATATAAGCTAACAATTCGAGAAAATAGAAAGCATTTTAGTGGGGACAATTTAGGTACTCAAATATCTCTTTGTGCAATTACTACTATTAATATTGCCCCGTGCATTTAATAGATGTATATTAAATCCATTATAAGCTTCTAATATTACATTTGCTATGCACCTGTCACAAAACCGAATTATATATGCATTTTAGTAGCAAAGGTAAAATTCTAATTAAATACAGATTAGGATTGCTTGAGGTTACAAAATAAGATTGGAAGTATTCTGAAAAATTAAGAAATTCTAATGCGACGATAATTAGAGCAACTGACTTCTCAATCAAATTAATTGTAAGTAAAAAAAATGGGAAAAAAAACAAATTTGGAAACATTGTGCTTAATTGTTTGAGCATGTCGAGTAGCTAAAGTTATTCTTTTTACTTCTCCTTGCTCTCCAATTTTCAACTTTTATTTTTTCTAACAATCAGGCCATTATTTGTATTCTATCTAGCTATTCATTTTTCCTAGCATCAAATAATTACAATGCTTGGAAATAACTTAGTATAATTTCCTAAATTATCTCTCGATAACCCTTATGAAAAACTCATTAATTTTTTTTTTACAACTGGATATCTAAATTGGAGACTATAATTAATCAAAATTTTAGTTTAATAAAACAGTATTATTTGGTGACGAAATAAGTTTTGAATGTATATTCATATATGTCTGCCATTAAAGTTATAAAATCTTACTTATAGAACATATTGCTGAATGACTCCTGACAGTATGTAAACATTGTCATAAAAGGTTATATTCAATGACAAATCATAACGCACTATTATCACAGTATTGTTACTTTGTCCAACAAATGACCTCCAACTGTTTCTTTACCCATTATTTGCCGGAATTATAATTTCCATAAGATCACTAATCATCAATAAATCTATTACACATTCAAATGCCTTCGTTATCGCATCGTCAAAGATATGACATGAGCATTTTTCTTTCTTCACATCAAGAATATTTGCATTTAAATATGCATGATGGAAGAGGGATTTAAATAATACTGCTGTATTGCTATGTTATTAATTGCTATCAAAGAAAATTAATTATTCACTTGCAAAAAATGGCAAACTTGCATGTATATTATTTTTTTGCAAATTTTAAATTTTTTTATGAATTTAGAATTTTTTTTATAGAAGATACTGTATTTTTAACAAGGCCAAAGACAGAACCCTACTACGTTACTGAGGGACAAGAAGGCCCGGTAATGGAATGTAGCTTTGCTCCTGAATTTCGCAATCGTACTCGATATGAGCCAAGTTGGACAGTTGTGGCTGGTGATTTGCCCAGGTTTGCATGTAAATTTATATGAATGATAAATTTCGGAATTTTTTGCTTCTTTTCAAATTTTGACAAAAAATTTATATATTTTTTTAAATTATATTTCTGAACAGATTTAATCTGCAAAGTGAAGAAGCTGGTCAATGGTTAAAATTTAAATAATCTATAAGCAGTTTGATAATCTCATTTTACAATTACTCACACACTCTGCGATATCGAAAGAACATTCTTGAATATAACAATAGCTGATTGTTGAGCAGTGAAAAGCGTGAAAAGTGAATATTACAATACATGAGAAATTAATAAATGAAATGAAATTCTATTGTGAAATTTAATAAAAGAGTAGTGTGAAGGATAAGAGTAAGAGAAGTCATAACAAGAACAAGAATAATCCGATTTTTTCTTAAATTCATTACAACAGATGAATTAGCAGGGAAAATAGTATTTTTCATAAATTTTTGACGATCAAAAAACCGATTTTGAAATTATTTCAAGAATTTAAGGAAAAATCCGTGAATTCTGAAAGTATTCCTATTTCAGAATTTATCAGAGCATATTTAGTATGAAAGCATTTTTCTTCAAACAAAATACATTTATTTCTTCTATAATTTCAAAAAAAATTGAGAAAAAATTAATTGAAATTTGACAAATTCATTAAGTTATATTGAATCAAAATCGTTTACTTTTTCTGAATTGTTTGAAAAATGAAACATTCACTGAAGATAGATATCAGAAATTTAGAAATAAAAAAGAAAAAATTATAAAAAAGTTTTGGATAATTTAGACATCTGACACGTAATGGAGTGTCATTTTCGAAACAACACTACGCATTATTACAAACAAGTGGCGCATATAATTTACAAATTCGGCACGTTGTTTTTCGTCGAGATAATGGGAAATTCTTCTGTACTGTTTTAGACAAGGAATCTGGAGCACAATATACCGTACAAGCAAATATTATTGTTGTTGGTTCGTTTTCATTCATGATAATTTAAATTTTTTACAGTTCTAATATAATAGTTAAGACATTATTGTAGTACAAAAATCAAAATTTTATCATTGTTTAGAATTTTCTTCAACTTTTGCATGCAATAAGTAAGTAAGTATTTGGCTGATTGATGTTAACATACTTGTATTGCAATTCATATTAGGTTATATTCTGAAATTTTTGCGTTTAAATTTAATACTGTAGTTTAATAAGATTTGTATAGATGAAATCCTTTAAAAAAAAGTTCAATGAGATGTTAATAAGTAGTGCTTGATAATAATTTAAGGTTTATAAACTTTGATATATACTGTTACAAGGTTGCATTGATATCTAGACTAAGGCTTTTATTAGGCTATACATTACATATGCATACTGAATACAATGAAGCAAATATGCATTGATGCATGTTGCATGCATTACTTATCGGTGAATAATATAATGCAGTCGTACATCTTGTGTGTTGTGGATGACAGATACATTCAGTGAAGCGATACAAATTGACTGTGAATTGAATTTTGAGATATGAACTTCATTGTCCTGGTCTCTCTGGCTTCATCGTCCATTCTTCAAAGCGTCTGGAACCCTCCTTGTCGCCAATTGCCATATTTTGGGGACAATTGACTGACGCATCGTCCATTTCTCTATTGCATTAATTCTTAGAACTCGCATAACATGCCTAGTAAAATGAATTAACTATCAAAAGGCTTCTTCAACTGTTAGAAAAATACGATCCATCATATGACTGAACAAGTTCCATTAAAATTAAGTTCGTATAT